TGAATTCTATATTCAACACATTAAAAGAATTTGAATAACTTCCTTATTTTTCCATGCTTTGGAGTAGTTTAAATCACATTCATATTATCTAATATTTAAAAGTTTGGTAAAATTTCAGTGTAAAGCAGTCTGTGGAGGAGCTTCTTAACATCCTTAATTCTGTTTTTAAATTTAGACTTAGGTCAATTTTGGAAATAAAATCATTTTAGATTTAATTTAAATCTTTTTAGAAAGAATGATTTTTAAGTAGCCAGATTTATTTATTCATGAACTCTGTCAGGCTTTTGTTGTTATGACTCATTAACTTTTGTTTTTACCTTTAATATATTCTTGTTTTCTTCTTCTTTCTAATTTAAAGTAATACCTTCTACTCCCAAATAATACTTATAAGACAATTAGCAAGCATTCTATTTCCATGTACTCTTTCTTTCATCTTCCATAATTGTAGTTGAAATTTATTTACTTTATCAAAGTATTTATTAACTATACACCATTTTATCACTTTATATATACATAATCAGTTCCACAACTAAGTATATTTAAGGTCCTTATGGTGAATATTTCCTAGTATTTCTCAATTGTCCTAAAATTATTCTTTAGTTTGTTCTTTAGGAATATTCCTCGAATATTCATACATTCATCTATTTTATACACACACAGATTAATTTAACTAGATAAAAAATTCTGGCTTATATTTGTCTTTGAGTATCTTAAATATGCTACACCACAGTCTTCTGTCTTAAAATGCTGTTGTTGAAATGTGCACCAATTTGATATTCTTTTTTCCCTTGCTAGAAACTTGGTATTTTTATCTGGAAGACCAAAAATATTTTTTCCCCTTTGAAATGTAGTACATTTAAAAAATATGTCTTGCTATCCACTATTTGGGTTAATTTTTTTTACATGGAATACCCTTCTAATATGTGGATCCTAATTTTGTTTTATGCCTGGAAAATTTTAATGAATTATGGGTTTTGTATTTGTTCTGTTCCATTTCTTTTGTTCTTCAAGGATTCTATTTTATACATGAGTTGAATCATTTTTTCCCCCAGCCTGCTAAATCTGTGGTCGCTAGATGCCTTCAAACATGTTTTCAATTCTTTTTGATTTTTGTTTTCATTTTTCCTGCCTATTTCCTATTTCTCTTACTCTACTTTCCTTAGTGTTTATTAAGCTTTTATTTCTCCTAGTTTAGTCTTCTAATTTTTTTCTTCTATTTTGAATTATTTTTAAAAATTCTGTCTTGTTTTAATATCCTTCTCTTGGGTAGTTTTCCCCTTTGGATTGATTGTGCATATTTGTTTTTATGATTTTTTTAAAATTTCATTTAGTTACTTTTGGAATATTAAGCTAAAAATTTTATTGACCTTTGCATTGAATGTTCATCAGAAAATTATTCAAGGCTTAGTCTTTTTGGTTATAACATATTTGAGATTGCAGGTATTTTGTGTTGCCTGTGCTTAATTGAGATGGGTTTTCCCGTATTTCAGGAAGTTATAATGTAGAGGGGGTGACTGACCAGAACAGCATTCTTAGAGTTGTGGCTCTAGAGTCCCTTTTCTCTTGTTTCTGCAAAGTATTTATAAGTAGGATCTCTTTGTATCTTCTGCTTTCTTTGGTCTCTTTTCCCCTTTGTATTTAGGATTTCTCTTTCTTTGCTATTTATATGAATTTGAAATCTGCGTTTAGTACATGTTACTTATCAAGAATTGTCTTTTTCCACAGGATATTTAGGTTGGGTATATCTTGGACACCCAGCATAATTTCATTCTACTTCAGTCTTTCTACTCATCTGCAAAGTGGATGCTTTGCTGTCTTCCTAGTCGTTAGTTATTCCCTGACCTATCTGCTGGGTTTCCACTCCAACAGTAGACCTTCCCTTTGGTAGGTGAAAGAATACCCATTAGCAATTTCTGGTTTTCTGACTCAAAAACATTGAACTATTCCCCTTTCCTTGTCACCTAACTGACACAATTGGTGGGTTTGCTTGCCTGTCCACATCCTAGAATATGTGAGGTTGACTTCTCCTTTAGGAAAAGATTTTGTCCATAAAATTTTGCTTTCACTATTCCAGATGATCTCACCATGTTTTTAGGGCATTGAGGAAGATTTAAGTCTATATTGATGGTATTTTCTTGCTGAGACAATAAAGCGTATCCCACTTTCTTTAATTTTTGGAGGGGGGCACTATTTTATCATTTGTTTACAACCTTGCTTCACTTGTCTTCCTAATAATTAGTTGCTCAATCTTCCTACTCTTTTTGACCTCTTGGTATAAGAAAGATTCCAGATGTGAGTGCTCGGATCTGTCTGATTTCCTATAACACTTATTTACTCCTAGGTGGTCTCATACGGCCATCCGATTCATGGCTTTAAGTACTGTCTATAATTTGATGACTCCAAAGTTTCTCTATTTCCCTAAACTCTCCTAAAGCCCAGGCTCAGGTATGATTTCCTCCAATTCTCCATTCTGTATCCAATCCACTCTCAAGAACTTGCAACTCTACCTGTAGTATATTTCTTGATTTTGATACCTGAAGTCATACTATAACATCACTAGCTGAAATTACTCCAAGAGCCGTAACTGGGGTCCGATTACTTCTCCCCAGCCCTGCCTTGGTTTATTTTTTAAAAACTAGTCAATTGTCCTTTAAAAATATGAATCAGATAATTTCATACTTCGATGTATAAGTACCAGTGATTTTTCATCATACTTTTTGGGAAAATATAAAGTCTTTACCATAACCTTCAAGGCCCTACACAATCTGCAACCTGGTTGCCAATATGAGTTTATTTCCTACTCCTCTTCCTTTCATAATCAGTCGTAGACTCCAAGCTTCATAGTTACCATAATTCTCCAGATGGCTCCTACCTCAAGATCCCTGTACCAGCTGACAAATGTACCTGCAAGGCTTTCCCCCAGATTGTTGCACAATTCATACACTTCTTTCAGTTCCAATAGCATTATACCAGAGACACCTCTTCTAGGTAATCAATCTAAACAGCCCATCTATACTGCCCCACAACCTCGCCAATCTCTTATTTTTCTTTATATTCTTATTTTTCTTTATAACTTACTATTAATTGAAAGCATTTAAAAATTATTTTCCTCAATAAAATGGGAGTTTTATGAATTCCCTAAGTTTGACAGTTCTATTCATTCCTGTTTCTCCAGAGCCCCAATACATAGCTTATTCACAATAAAAAATAAATATTTACTTTATTTATTCATGTGGGGCTGAATCAATCTCAAATTGCCATAATTCTGTTTCTAATAGACACACTTCTTTCATCTACATAGAATCAAACTAATAAATGTCACCAGAGTTCAAAATAAATGGACTATTTGAGAAAAAACTACAGGTTATGCCTCGTGTATTACACTGTGCTTTAAAAGTTGGGTAATATCTAATATTAGATAAATATTTGCTTAAACCTGTGAAGTGTTTCCCCATTATAATTTCTGCAAAGTGTTACAGTACTATTTATTGTCACAAATTCAAATCCATCAGTCTATGTTTGCTTTTATATTTAATAAAAGATCTTTCTCATCTTTATTCTGTTTTCCCTCCAGCTCATATGGTTTAACTAATTAGAATTTATTTTTAAATTTATGGTGTGAGAAGAAATAACTTCATGTGTACTAACTTTCCCAATTCCTCAGCATGGTGTATTAAATAATCTGTTCTTGTTTAGAATATTACCCATAACACACTAAGTATATGTATATATAGACTATATCTCATAAATTTCTCATCTGGTTTTTACCTTAAATTTTAATAAGTTTTGATGTGAACATTCTAGAGATATCTACAAAGCAGGATTTTTCTCTCACAAGGATACAACTTCATTATGCTGGCCATGGAGAAGCCATGATTTATTACAGGATCTAAAACTAAATTAAACCAATGTGCTTGGTCATGTCATGTTACTGCCTCAAAAACTATGCTTTGGAATGCCATTTATAACTTGTTTCTATTATGTCTAAAACTCACAAGATAACCTGCATATTGTGAGGAAGGGAGAGAAAAGGAATGCTGGCCCTTGACTTTTTCTAAGGTATTGTATAATATCCTAATAGGATATTTGAATTTACTTTCTCTCAGCCCTGGGATTGGCTAAAATTACAGAATTATGTCAGAGTTCTCACCTAATAGGTTTAAGGCCTGCATAGCTTAGCACCCTCCACGCCCATTCACACATGCACTCATTCATTATAAAAGCCATCTGTACTTTATAATACAAGTGGAGACCAGGCCTTTGCCCTGAGGGTTGACTATCTAACAACGAAACCCATTTATTTAGTTTTCTAACCAAAATAATGCTTTCTCATTCAAGAGATGTACTTGTGCATCTGCTATTTATTTGGCATGCCTTCTCCCTCTCTATTACTCACTTCACAGTTTTGGTTTAGCAAATGCATTGGGTGAACTGAATAAAGTTATGTAGACTAAAACAGTAGGAAGTGCTAATTGTCATCAAATAGCCAAGTGTTGAGTTTATATGAGAAAGGTATAGTTTGATACGCCAGTCACGTGGGGCTGAATCAATCTCAGATTGCCATAATTCTGTTTCTAATAGACATACTTCTTTCATCTAGATGGAATCAAACTAATAGATATCACACCAGAGTTCAAGTAAAATGGACTATTTGAGAAAAACCTATGGATTATGCCTTGTGTATTGTACTGTGCTTTAAAAGTTGGGTAATATCTAATATTTGATAATAGAGTCACAACCATCAAGCAAGTACTCATTTTTTTTAAAAGGACTAGCCACTAGGAAATAATTTTATATTCTCTTCCAACTAACTGCTTCTGAACTTCCATTTATTTGGTTATATGTCCAGGGACAACTACCTAAAACGGTGACACTCTCAATGCCAAAGCTATGTAGAGTAGGGAATAAGGTATGATAATCTTTGCTACTTTTTCTTTCTGAAATTTACAATCCCCCCCACCCTCTGCGCCAAAAAGAAAATAAAAAAAGAAAACCCCAAAGACAAAATGAATGCAAGTTTATTCGCCATCAAACTATTTTAGGTCATTGTCATCTAGCTTTAGTTTCACAACTTGATAAATCTAAATTGTCAAGACAATGGAGTGAACCATATGGGACAACCAGAAAGGAAGAAAAGAGATTCCTTTAAGGAAATTTGTGATGGGTAAGTGACTTAGTAAAAGTCATTAAGTCGTACATTAAAATTATGTTTTCATAAATCGTTATGCTTCTGCCTTCTTACATTTCTCTGTGTCCCAAACTATTGCTTTCCAGATTTAATCCTCTATTTTTTCTATCCCTCATTCTTTGTTTTCCTGCTTCTCTTCCTTGCCTCCCTCCATCTCTGTATCGGGCAGAAGCTCACACTGGGACACCTGATTTGGGTTCTAAGCAGAGCGTCTGTAGCTCCACTTATCCTGAAATCCCTCTTGCACAGAATGATCTCCTATTTTAACTCTCTCAGCTATGACTGAACAGATGGCCCTGCACATTTCAGCTCACATAAAACGTGCTAAAAAAAAAATCCCAACAAGCTTATCTATAAAATCATGTGAGAATCCACTGGCCATATTCATTCCATGTATTTCATTTGCTTTGAAGTGGATCATCATTATCTTAGATCCTGAGTTACATCTTACCTTTTTAAAGTTAAAACATGTATAAGATGGCAAAAGAAAACAAAAACAACAAAAGTATTGTAGATTTGGATGAAAATAACTTTAAAGTTAATAATAAATTTTCATCTCTCTCAATTCTAGAAAGGATAGCAAGCAGAGCTCTGATGATAAAGGTGCTACAAACAAATCCTGTCTCAACTGGACATTAATTATAGACTAAATGTATACACGTGGAAGCTGCCAGTAGTGTATAACACATTTCAATATTTTTTAAAACAGTGAAATGATCAAATCCCTAAAGATACTGCATTTTTCCCTTTATTTGCCCAGGAATCTGTTTTGGAAGCCAATTCAATGATTACTACTAGGACATGGAATTTTGATATCCATTTGGTACTGATTTACACCAGTATTTTTAAGGCTGCCAACAAGAAAGTCCAGAATTTCAGGCAGCCAAAATTCCACAAGAGACAACTGTCTTTTATTTTATAGCTTATGAATTTGGGGCTTAATATGATTTTCCACCAACAAGTTCTGTACCCCCTCCAGAGTGCTAAAGCTGGTGTAGAGATCAGCAAAGTAACACAGAACATATGAGGCAAGTTAATATTAAACTTGAAGGAAAACTGTACAAATTACATTGTTTACTTAGGAAAAAGCACTCTAGTTGAAAGGGCTGACATATGATTTATTACAAACACTTAGCCAGCATGTTCACATTTTACCCTCAACCCTACTTGTGGCAGTTTTTTTGGTGGTGGTGTGGTGCTGGATTACAGTATTAATAAAGCTGTCAATTAAAAATCCACTAACTATTGGGAAGGAGCTCTAAATACTTCATGTCTTCTGTTTTTATGAAATGGCTAGAAAAAATACAGAATCATATTCAGTAATAAATCACAGGCAAATAACTTAGGGAAGAGTTGGATGGGCAATTATCTTTAAACATAAGTAAATGGAGAACCTGTTTAATTAAAAACAACAAAACGTTCTTGGTTTCCAGAAATAATTCTCTTGCAAAATAAAACTTTCACACATAATTAGAAAAAAACCAGAATTATAGAATTTCTTGCTTTGCTCAAAGCAATCTTTTGAAGTGTCAAAGAGAGAATAGATATTGAAACACTAAAATAATTAGGATGTGTTTTTTTTTTTCCTTGCGAAAGTCATGAAATCTTTTTCCCCAGATTCCATGAAGAAAAGAAGAGACGTGGATTGGTCCTGTATTGTTAAACCTTCCATACCTAAATGACTTTCTCCAGGCTTGTTCAAAACTTTCATGTTTCATACACTTTCTAATGTGATTTTTATACACTTGTTCTCGATTTGAGTCAACAAAGACATATAATAGTGTAAATATCAGCACAGGAAGACTTAGAATTATGTATTTACAAAACTAGATATCAAACACCATACCTGCAATGCTTTCTTAGTAAAGAAAAATTAATTATTTCACATAATTTCACAGATGAGGCACAAAGACTTAATGAACTAGTTCTGTAGCAGAAGCCCACCCTAACTACTAAGAAAACCATACCAGATAGCATTGAGATTTCACTAGAATTGCTAAGCTGCTATCCAAAAACCTCGCCATGGTGCCCACCAGGGGAGAATGACTTCTGGATCATCATTCTCAGGATGCACCCTGGATTCTCAGGTTCATCAGAGAGAAGCATGTGAGCATCGTACAACACTACTCTTATTTCTGAAACAAGGGCTGTATAAAACAGAATTACTTTCACCGCATTGCCACATTGCTACATCTAATGGCAGTTAAAGCTAAACATGAGTCTGAGTGAACAGAAGAGTCTTCTGACATCCATTCTTAACATGTAGAGTAGAAACATTTATATAAAAAAATTCATTTAAAAATATATTGCTAAATTACTCTATGAAATTTATAATTAGCTAATAACATAATTTTATCTACACAGACTTTAAAAACAGACATTGAATGGATAAATTATTTCATACCCAAAGTTACTGTATCTAGAAGAAAATAAAATTGAAATCATTATAAATTAATCTTCATGTCTGAACCCGTACCCTATTATAAGACAGAGTATTGAACAAAAACATCGTTCTATTTGGAGAGAAGGCCAAGATGATGTGTCAGGTGGCAGCTAACCACATAAGTATTGCTAATATCCATCCTGACCCTCTATCCAGATCATATATTTCTGGTTCATTTAAACAGGAATAGTTATCTGTTTTTCCTATTGACACATAGTTATGAAAATTTCATTCTTAATTTCCCATTAGATTTCCAAAAACACCACTTTGAAATTCAAATTATAGCTAAACTCCACAAGGCTGGTATATGGGCAAAGTGGAGAAATCCATGGATAACTGTATCAGATTCACAGACTGCCACTTTGCTTTAAAACTTAAGTTTATTCCTCTAGATTTCCCCTTTTTATTACTTTCTTTTCTAAACTCATTCCCCATTCAGACATTACTTGCTTTAGATTAGCAGTGTAATCAGCAGCAATCTGACCAGAGTGCCCTCTACTTTATTTCCGTTTATTTCCATAGAAACATTTTGGCAGGCAGCAAAGTTCACTATGTTTTTTGGAAATCTAATCACACAGAAAACCAGGTACGACAGAATACACACTATTTGATATATTCAAACGTGAGTCCTGAGAGCAAAATATAAAGTTTAAAAGAGGAAATAACTCCTCATTAAGGCTGGAAGAAATTTGAGAAACTTGAATGGGGGATATTTTAAAAAACCCTGGCTAAATTAGATCCCTCACTTTTAGATAAGAATGAACCCAATCTTGAGGAGTTTGCTTGGGAATGTTTTGCCCAGCCATTTGTGACTGGTGGTCAGCGGGTATTTGGCACAGCCATGGTTTTATATTTGAACTTCATCTTCAGCTTTCAGTTCAGGGGTTGCACCACGGAGGTGTGGTCCTAATAACTCCCCATCTGACAATAGGGGCGACCTGCCAGGAGTCTGCACGGCCAGTAGGGAGAGAGATGGAGAAAAGCTAGGAGCCATGGCTTCCGAGAGAGAACCGGGGTGGCAGAGAATTGGGGAGCGTGGGTATTTCTGAATGACCTGACCTGGGGCTATAGCTGGCATTCTTGGTGGAACTGCTTTAATCCCAGGCTGGGCTACTGCTGTTATCAAAGGCGGTGGGAAAACAAAAGACTTCTCTTTTGGGATGCCAGGCAGATGTAAATTCTTGTCCTTTAGTTTTGCAATATCATTAAACACTGAGGCAAGAGGTTGGAACTTGGGTTCCCAACTGAGCAGATAATCCCAGGTGGAGCTGCCTCTCAGATCATGATTGAAGGTTATCTGAGTTGGAAAAGCTGCACATCTTGCTTCCTGATCACTTGACATAAAGATAGACTCTTTCCTGACGTCAGCCAGGACACCCTCTTTCACCTCTCTCTTCTGAAGTGGCTGGGGTGACCCCGTATTTTGAACATAGAGGGTGCTGCAGCTTTCCCCACCATCTCTGTCCTCAAACGTCTGGCTGGCTTCTGCAGCTTCGACCGTGGCCATCACATCTGTTTCCCCAGACAGGCAGGAGAGCTGGTCTGAGTCCCGGGGGATTCCCGAGTCAGGCACCCTGGACCCCCGATCACTCAACGCCGAGTCCGAGTCCTTTCTATAAGGATGCTCATTTATCCTCTGGATTTCTTTATCTTCTGCAGTTTCTCCTTCCACAGAACAGTGGCCGCTGGAGTTTGAGTGCCTGTACAGGTTGATCATGTCCTTCTCCATGATGCTTAGTAAGCTCAACCACTCAGGCACGGCTTGCACAGGTACCTCTTGATGGCACTTGCTGGTTTTCTGGAAGCCCCGGAGCATGCCGGCCTCCCTGGTCAGACTCAAATTGCTACCTAAGGACGACGATGCTTTCTTCTCCTCACAGTTGGGTCGTGTGTCTTTCTGTTTGTGTCTTAGTATCAGTACAAGGAGAATGCCGATGAGTGACAGAAACACTAAAAAGGAGACTGTGAGGCTGATCAAAAAGCTGTCAGCAGATATCGCTGCATGTTTTCCATCAGAGGACAAAGACACGTTTACAAACACGGTGCAAGACGCGAACTTGGAGTCGGGTTTGGGGCTATGGGCGATGACTTTCATTTCAAAGGTGTGTTCTCTGATGACTTGACTTTGTATGAGGGGAGTGCCTCTAATCCAATAAACATTTCCATTTGTTTCATTTATGGCAAAGAAAGGAGATGGAGTTCCAAGGGAGTAAAGAATGACTCCGTCGGTACCAGCGTCTGCATCTGAGGCTTCCACTCTTCCAATCAACTGCCTTCCTTGATTCTTTTCTAGGTGGTTGAAAAAATATTCATCTTGAGTGAAAATGGGTTCAAATTCATCTATCCCTTCAATGTCCACCCACAACATTAAGGAGGCTGTTGATCCACCTTTGTCTTTGGCCTGAACTGTGAGGCAGTACTTACTGACATTTTCATAGTCAAGGATTTGCTTAGCACGAATATCTCCTGTTAAAGGGTCAATGATGAAAAGGTCCTGATCAGGAGGCATTCCATGAGTGACAAAACAAGGTGATAAAATAGAGTAGGTCAATTCTCCATAAGGACCAGCATCAAAATCCAAAGCATTTATAGAACATATGGTGGAGAAAATAGGGAGATTCTCAGGAACAACACAATTCATGTTTGGGGACATAAACTGAGGCACATGATCGTTATCGTCTAAGACACTGATAGACACGACTGCAAAAGAAAAGTGCTTCTTTTCTTCATCTGAAGCTTGGACAGTTAAAGTGAATGTTACTGTTTCTTCATAATCCAGAGGCTTAATCAAATAAAGGACTCCTGATTTTTCTTCCAAGTGAAAATGCTCTTTCTCATTTCCAGAGATTATGTGGTAGACGATTTCTGCACGTGAACCCACATCACAGTCACTTGCTGAGACAACAGTGATGTGGCTCCCTAGCGGCGTGCTTTCCTTGACGTGGGCATGATATTTCAGACTGCTGAATTTGGGTGGGTTGTCGTCGACATCAAGCACTTGTATGTATACAACAGTTGTGGAACTCATAGGAGGGCAACCATGGTCAGAGGCTAGAATGACAAGCTCGTGGCTGGCACTTGCTTCTCTGTCTAGATTGCGAAGCAACACAAGATAACCAGCTTGCTTCGAAGGATATTCTGAATGAATGAAACTAGTTTCCACATGGAAGTTGTTCTGTGAATTACCGCTGATGATGGAATATTCAACTTGTGTGTTTTCATAGGTCCAATCAAGGTCAATGGTTGAAAGAGTCATGAGTGTGCTTCCGATCAGAGCATCTTCAGTCAAACTAAGGTTATGGTACTCGACTATAAACTCCGGGGCATGGTTATTCACATCTTGTATTTTTATCTCCACTAACGTAAGAGCCCTCAGGTCAGGAATTCCACCATCGCTGGCTTCCACAAGAAATCGAATTGTTGATATTTTATCCAGAAGTAATATAGGGCTGGTAGTAAATATTGTTCCTGAAAAACAAGGCAGAGCATATCAGTATTGTGAAGTGAAATGTTCATGGCCAGTGTAGTCAGCAGATGCTTACTGAGTATCTAAATGTGTTTAGTTCTTTGTCAGATGTGTAAACAATAACAAAGTACAGATAGAAATTAAAATTATTATATTTATATAATGTTATAAACTTTATAAAAATACAGTTAAGATTCAGAAATAATTTTTATTTTATAAGATTCAGAAATAATTTTAATGACATAAAAATTCTATATGTGTGCTTCTTGAGATTGCCTTCACTACGATTCTTTTTTCTGAATCTTACTCTTCTGTAGTAAGTTGTTCTATAACTGCTTTTAAAAGACAAATATGGTTTTATGAGTGCATTATAGTCATACATAATAGTTGGGTTCATTTTGACATATCATATATGCACGAAATTTAATTTGATCCATATCAGTCCCCAGTGCCTCCTCCTTCCCTCCCTTTTTCCCCCCTTACTCTTGCCCCCTACTCCACTGGTCTTCCTTCTATTTATTTTTAATTGATGCTTTATAGATTATACATAAAAGTAGAAGTCACTCTGATATATTTATACATGCACATAGCATGATTTTATCAAAATCATTCTGCATTTCCTTCCTTTTCTGTCCTGCCTCCTTCCCCCTCACTTTTCTTCTTTTCTACGGATCTTCCCTCTCTTCTTATGATATCCCACTGTCCTCTCTTTTCCCCCTTACTTTGACCTAGCTCCTGAATGTGAGAAAAAACATTTGATCCTCGGTTTTCTAGGTCTGGTTGATTTCATTTAGCATGATGCTCCTCATTTCCATCCATTATCAGCAAATGCCATAATTTCATTCTTCTTTATGGCAAGTGAAACTCCATTTGTATGTATACCATATTTCAAGAAAATATATTCTTGTTTGTAAAATTTATTCCCTATTCTATGAGCCATAAACAAATGTATAGAGATATTCTGGCATAAAGATACTTATTCTGGAAATACTGGTTGACACTCACCCTAGTCCAATGAAAGCAGTAAAAATGATAATTTTATGGAATTATAACTGTTCCTTAATATTATAATTATAGATATACATTTTTAGATATACTTTTCCTAAAGCTCATGGTTCATTCAGCAAGTGAATTTTTCCCTTACTGATAAAATATATATTTAAGACTTACTATATTAAATACAGAAATAATTTTTATGAATATGGATGGAACAACATTTTTCTAAGATAAATGTGTTTTAAGTATGATCACTGAAGAAGAATACTGAATAATGACATTTTCCTAAAGGATTTTAAATCAGCTTACTACAGTGATGCAGCTACATCATTATAGCTGCTCAATTCACAATAGTTAAGCTATGGAACAAACCTAGGTGCCTTCAACAGATGAATGGATGAAGAAGATGTGGTATAGATACTCAATGGAATATTACTCAGCTACACAGAAGAATAAATTTATGGCATTTACAGGTAAATGGATGGAACTGGAGACTATCATGCTAATTGCAATGAGCCAATCCCCAAAGACCCAAAGCCAAATGTTCTCTGTGATATATAGATGCTAACAGCAACATGGGAGGGGAAGTATAGAAGTTCATTGGATTAGACAAAGGAGAATGAAGGGAAGGGAGGAGGGATGGGACAGTAGACTGAATTGGACAAAACTTTTCTGTGTTCATATATGAATAAATGACCACTGTAACTCTACATCATGCACAACCACAAGAATGAAAGTTATATTCCATGTATGTATGATATGCCAAAATTCACTCCACTGTCATATATATCTAAAAAAAAACAAATTAAAAAATATACTGGGGGGAAATGCTGGGGATTGATATTGGCCCAAGTATATTGTCATATTGTGTATATCTATTAATATGTATTCACAAATCCCATCAATATGTGTGATGTAACGCGCCAATAAAAATGTGGCCGGGGAAAGAAAAAAAAAAAAGCCACATTTCAATTAGAGTCACACCATGGACTGAATTGACTTGATTAGACTTAAAGTTTTAAAAACATTCTGATCAACAGGAAAGGTGAATTCAATTTGCCAGTGTCCAGGGCAGCAATTGCCAGGATCTGACATCATGGCAGGGGAGCAGGCACCAAATTCCAGACATGTTTATATGCATACATTACTCATTCATGAACAGACTATGTGGTAACATCACCTATTTTTCTTACAACACCCTGGGGACCTCATTCTGATATTTTGGGACCAAATTCTCCTTTCAGGCATCCTGAGGTTAATTTTTAAGTCAGCTCTCTCTTGCAGAAATAATGCAAAATGGTGGGTAGAGGTCGGAACGCACAGTGTGATGTGTCCTAATTTTTGTTCTTTTCTAAAGTGTTCTAGGACATTACTTTGCTGATAATATTCATTTTTATAAAATTTAGCTCTTAATGTCCACTCACTGTTAAACTTTCTCTGTACTCCACTTACCTGTTCAAATCTGGAATAACCTGCATGAATTCATTTTCAAACGCATTCACGAATGTCTAGTTCTTAGATAAAACTACAAAGAGACTTAAAAGACATCAAATAAAGTAGAACATCACATCACCATGGTTTCTGTTTAGTAGAAATGGATACTTAAATTATTTTCCTTTTTCACTCTTCTTGTACTTATTGAACAAATGAAGCTATTACTGAATATTTTTGTACTTGGTTTGAGTAAAAGACTTCAGACTCTAGTAACGTGAAGTCCTTAGCACTGACTTAATCCTCTCAACATCATTTTGATTATTGTTGAATCCCAGGATAAATGGCCTGAATTGTGCTTGGATAGATGCATGAAACTGGGGGTGTACTATCTTGGGGGTCTAAATTTCTGAGTATTTACCAGCACTTAACCAATGCCTTCTGCTTCTCAGTCACTGAGATGTTTGAGAAGAGAAATAACACTGGTGCTTGCTATTGCAGTGTTTGAAATGAAGATAAAGAAGAAGGTGGTGCCTATAATTGCAGGGGGTAGAGATAGGGGGCTATTGAAGGAGCATCTGGAAAGTATTACTTCATGATTCCACCCTGTAACTCAAACCGTGAGCTCTAAAGTCACTAGAAACCACTCACCATTCATGGGATCAATGGCAAATTCCTTAGAAGAGGAAAGGATTCTATAAGAAATGGTCTCATTGCCTTCTAAGTCCGAGGCTGACACAGTCAACACTGAGTACCCCAGAGGAACCAATTCAGGAACTGTGACCTAAGCACAAGAGAGGAAAAAGGACATTGTGTTTAAAGGCTAAAGGCACATTAATGACCAGGGCCAGAACATAAGGTCATTTTGTCTATTTTGCTTATGGAAATCATACAATTCAACATGACTCTCTTAGATACATCGATTTATGAAGGTGACACATTAAAAATATTAGGCCAGGGAATAGCTCAGTGGTAGAGCACTGGCCTAGCATGTGTGAGACCCTGGGTGGAATTGTCAACACTGCAAAAAAGGTAAAAAAGAAAAGAAAAGAAACATGTTTTCAGTTCCTGGAAAGAGAAAAGAAAAAGTTTAAAATTTTATTCAGTTTTGATTTTTCTTATGAATTTTTTTTTTCTAAATTATTTCTGTGTGTTGAATATTGTTAATACAGTCACTGTTATATTATTATATCATACACATTGTATAATTTAAATAAACCTCTATAGTTTAGTTTTCCTCCTGTGTTGACCTTTAAATCTTACATTTGCTATACTCAAAAGTCCTGGAGTTCATTTCCAAATGATTAGTTGAATACTATTGTTGCTCTAACTTCTTTAAATAGATACTATGCTCTAAATACTAAAATTTCCACCTTATAGATTTGTACCTAATTTGTTTTAAGATATTAATTAGTATATTCCAAAAATATGCCTAAGGAAGAAAAAAATTTTCCAAATTAAATGCAGATAATCCAAACTCCCTCGTTTTATCTGTGGCTTTGCAAATACGAAGCAAGTTCCAATTGTTCTGAACAACCGGACTCCAACTTCACAAAAAAACTTAAAAAAATGATGACCTACATAGTTTATGAATTGAAGTGAACGAGACATTCAATTCCATAATTACTTATAGTTTCCACAATATAAAACCTGTGGCATTAAATCAGGTACCCAAAACCAGAATAAATATTATCTTAGTGGGCCAGCAATGGAAAGCTTACGTTTCTTCAAGCTCTTTACCTGATAGAAATCTTGAGAAAACACTGGTGGGTTGTCGTTGACATCCAACACAGAGATGGTGAGGGATCCCTCTGTGTGGTACACTGAATCAGAAATTTGAACGAACAACTTGTATTCAGAAGCTTCTTCAAAATCCAATGTTTTTATCAATACCACTCTCCCAGTGTTCTGATCAATGGCAAATTTGGCTCCAGGGTTACTGTCTTTTGTGAAACTGAAGATGAAAGCTGGATTCAAATCCGCATCATGAACTGATACCCGAGACACAATTACACCAGGCAAAGAATCTGAAATAATCATGACCAGTGTCAACCTCCATTAACATTCATCCTTTGAAAACAATTTTTTCAAGAGTATAAGCCAAGTGTCTCATTGTAAATCAACATGATTTGCTCTTTTTTGGCATGTTTTCTCATACAAAGCTCCTTATGAACTAAACAAAAACTCGGAAGGATTTATGAGCCCAATAAAACTGAAAATTTACCACGGAGTAGGAAATTAAGAAAGTAGAGTATATTCAATTTTTCACATTACAGTTTTTTTAAATTATATACTTATAACATCACTCTGGGGTCAAGGAACATTCTAAGCATATATCTGTACTGTGTAGTTTCTGTATCAAAATCATATTCATGTGGATGTGAGTAGGAAAAACATTACTCAAAATATTAATGCCAAGCATAAAATTTTGAAAAGAAAAGCCAGGTTTTAATAAAAAAAAATTGGGTACAGATATAAGAGTTAGCTACTCATTCCTTTGTATTTATTTGGCAAAATTATTTCTTTCAGAGTTGCACTGCTTCTTTCTCTTAAATCTGATTTTCAAAATTATCAAGATGATAGAAAGACAAAATTTATATAGTGCTAGTGATGAAAACAAATTTCTAATATTAGTCACTAAAAAAAATTACAAAATAGATGACATGCTCAATGTCTCACATACCACATGTGTTCTGCAGCCTAAATTGTCCATGAAAGGGACTTTGTTACTAGGCTGTAGGTATGGTGCTGGTGGAAAGAGTATGCCAAGATGCTCAGAATGGTTCCACTGTATATGAGGCTCATAATTTTCAGTTTGAAGCTTGAGCATTCTTGATGTGCACCAACCACACCTCACCCCATTCAGTACATTTTGATTTATGCAGTTTGTTCTTGTGATATATTTATTCTGGGCACATTTTAACACTAATGCAAGTGCTTACGAACACGAACATTTGATTTTCCATAAAATCAAATGAAAATAAATAGGTGAGAGGCAAAACTGGAAAATGTTCTTATTTATGGAATTTAACATTTGGGGGCATCCCTAGACATAGAGATTTCTGGAATATATCCCTCTGTGAGAGGTGGTGCTTATGATTTGTTTGGAAAGTGAGCATAATAAAATGGTAAGGACGTTTTAGAAATGAGTTTGGTATTAAGAGTGAAAACAAGCAGCTGCCTATGTAGCTCAAGGGTAGAGGTCTTGCTTAGAAGATGTGAGGCTCTGGATTCAATCCCCAGGAGAGAGGGAGAAGGAGAAAGAAAGAGAGAGAGAGAGAGAGAGAGAGAGAGAGAGAGAGAGAGAGCGAGCAGAGAGGCAAGTGATAAGCCACCAGTATTTTCAACTTCAACTATAAAAAGTTGGGTTGGATTTCACCAGTGTAGTGAATGAGCATGTGTAATTTTGGGTTCATAAACTGTGCAATCATTGTATAACTCACATACCCAAACAATTAAGATTAATCCATCTATCACAAAAAAACTTTATATTTTCAACATCCACCATTAGTGTGATGCAACTATTGAAGTCTAGGGGACTTAGGGAGGAAAACGATGACTTTGTTCAACCAACATCCAACTTATTTCATTAATTGTCATTAGTATCTTGCAAAGATTGACGAAGCTAGGAGTCTAAGAACATCGCTTCTTCTCAGAGAAGATTCACTGTTTCCGCAGCCAAAAAAACCCTGCTTCTTCAGAAAAGTTTAATTTTTAAGGCAAGTCTGCACATAAACAGATATTATATGGAATGGCAGTTGGCAGAGGGGGCTCAGCCTCTTGCTAATCTGAATACAAATCCCAGTTTTAACAGTTAACTCCTTTGACATTTGATATTTAACATTTGATATTTAACCATTCATTTTTAATGCTATAAAAGTAAGATAAAAATTTCCAAGCTTGCATGGCTGTGCAGGGCTCGCACTCATACTTAACATAGTGTCTGGCTGAAAGAAATGATAAATGATATAAGTAAATCAAAACCACCACACCAAATTGCCACACTTACTTTCTGCAATTTCTACTGCTTCAGAGGGGACAAAAACTGGAGCATTGTCATTTATATCAATCACTCGAATCTCGATCATAGTTGTATCAGAAAGCCTGGGCAGCCCTTTATCCGTGGCTTGCACGATCAATCTGGTTTGGAAAAGAATCAAGGAATGTTACTCACCATCCAGGAATTAAAAAAAACAACATAAATATCAAATATCTAGTTGAAAATCTTAAAATGAGCTGACTGGCTACTTTTATTTCTCCCCTGGCTTTCTCTAAATGGTATCATTTAAAATTTATTTCTCGTAAGAATGGTAGCCTGAAATTTTTTAAATTTTGACATGTTTGGAGAATCAAATCCAGCAAGCTTCCAGGGATCATGAAACATTAATGTCAAAATGAATGGACCACTTCTGGGAGATAAGAGTGTAAAATTTAATCCTATCCTACCAAGAACAACCTAAAAATTACAAACACTAATATCTATATTTTGGATAAGCAGATTTCTTCTACTCTGCAATGTACAACATAAAATACTGCGACATTTCCATTTTACTGTACCAACAAAGACAGAACTACTAAAAGATTGCTTTGCACTGCTATTTTTTAAGATTGGGATTTCAAATCAATCAAAATTACAGAATAAAGGACAATGCCACAATCTCTCTCTCTCTCTCTCTCTCTCTCTCTCTCTCTCTCTCTCTCTCTCTCACACACACACACACACACACATACTCCATATACATGGGGTGGTAGTGGCTGGGAATATAGCTCAGTGGTAGTGTGATACAGTGTTTACCTAGCATATATGAGGCACTGGGTCTGATTGATTTACTTTTTGAATGTTACTTGGATTAGTGCTTTTATTCACTATACTCCTGTCTTCCTTCAAAGCCTAATCTTCATTCAAGTAGTATTATCAGCCATCAATCATACTTTGCCGAGAACTGAAAAGTTTTCTGGAACGTGGACTTGCAGTGTTTTCAAAACCAGTACAATCCAGGCAAAATAAGACATGAAATTTTCAGTGCTAAATCCAAGAATGTCCTGGGCACACCTAAGCAAGTCCGTCCCTGCAGACTCATCCCTTATCTTTACACCTGTGATGATGTTTAGATATTGTATCCTTTCTCACTTGGGGTGCTTCTTGTATGTACCAACCTCCCCTACAAAGGTCTCATCTGTTCCTATCCATCACCCACAGTGAAGCTCAATTTCTCTATCTAAAATCCTACTTGTGGGCTGGGGATGTAGTTCAGTGGTAGAACATTCACTTAGCATGCACAAGGTTCCATCAGAAACTAAATAAAATTTAAAAACTAAAATTCAATTTGTACAATCCCCTCCCCCATCCTTAAAACCTTTCCTGGTACTTCTTGTCAAGGTTGTCCAACCCCAAGCATGTACACATGACCTTCTATGACCTGACTTCTGTCTAGAATCCCTGTCCCTATGCCTCATGGCCTTCCAAATCTCAAATCTCTTTTAAGACTGCACTGACCTCTCAACTTCCCCTTTATCAATCCCCATGGCACCCTGTACATTTTTCTACCCTAGCAATCACTACTTTTAGTTCTTAATGGTTCATTTGTCTACCTCTTCTATAAGTTCCTTGAGATCAGGTGGCTACTTTATTTTATTTTCAGAAAGGAAGGAGGGAGGGAAGGAGAAAGAAAGTAAAAAAAAAGAAATGAAAAGAAAATAGATTGAGCATTGGATTCTCACAATCTGCCCAAGGTCACATATGTACTATATGACAGACATAGAATTCAACTTCCAGTCCTGGTCACATGGAAAGCTTTGCTCTACTATTTGATACTCCTTCAATGTGCCTCTCTTGCTATATATACACAGCACCCTAATAAAAAATCATCAGCTTGTTTTTAACTTCTTTCTAAACACTATGAAGTCCGGGGGGAAGAAGCTGCATCAAAAAGTGAGATGTCAATTAGAAGATGGTCTTTCTTTCAGAGGTGGTATCCATCTTGCCCAGTTGTGGAAACTAACTTTTAAGAAACTGAGTTTTGGAAGTAGATACCTTTCTACTTTATTTTCCATTGTTAGACCCTTTTAAGTAACCTTTTTCAATCCTAAATTTGAAAATGAGGTGAAATAAGCATCAACTCATTCTTGACTTGGACTCCATTTAGTAGTAAATGACTACTGTCAATCTTAACATTCACAAAGCTAGTGCCTTCTACACTTTCAGAGTTGAGATTATCACCACAACCACTTGAATTTCATAGTCCTAGGAACAATTTCAAGTGGAAAGTTTGTTAGTATGACCACCAATCAGGTACATATGGAAATATTTTGCTAAAAGTAATCAACTCATAGTGTTGTCCTCCCTTTCTGCCTGCCCTTCTCCAGGGTCACCTAGTCTTAGCCAAGATCCCAAAGTTAAGGTTCCAGCAACTCTTCTACTGTTGTCAAAACCATCCTTATTTTCAGAATACTATAACTTCAGGGCTTCTATGCAATTTCTATGGCAGGTTTCAAAAACAAAAAAAGTAAGGAAAATGTGTAGTTCATTTTCAAAATAAAGGGGCAAAAAAAAAAGGTTTCTCAATGGCTTGAAGAACAAATAAAAAATTATGAAAGTAGATCTGCAGAGATTCTACATACAGTGTCTGTGAGACCTCAAGCCATCCATGATGGCTCCTTGGCAGTCATTGTGAAACTATTGGTTGTAGCCAGGCCAACTGGCTCCATGTTACAAAACTATTGCCCTGATTATTATGATCAGCAGAGACTATAAATGAAACTGACCAGATTTTGAATAGACAGTTCTAAGTTCAGAACATATTTTTCCTATTCTCTCAACCATGGGAAACTTCTTTCACCATGCTAAACATTAAATGAGGCCTTTGACCAGACAGGATCTTTTGTAATTGCCTTAAAACAGTAAATATGTTGGTAGGAAATTTTTCAAAAACTCTTTCTCATCTATATTTTAAATGTCTATGAAAATTTTTCCATTCCTTTTCAAATCCTAAGGAAACTAAAAGTGATCAGTCAGTATCAGAACCATCTAAAAAAGAAGTATGACTTCTGGTTAAAGATGGTAATCTGACTTCTCAAGTTTATATCCTCTTCTTTCCAAGATTCTACAAAAGTGATAGCAAGGCAATCTAAAATAATGTGTAAATCCATAAGGCTAAAAAGAAATGGGAGAAAATATTAGTGGATGGAGTAGGTGAGAAGCATCAACATTTCTAAAAGATATAAGAAGATTCAAGAGTGGTTATAGATGAGTGAGTTGGAGAAAATCAAAGATTAAAATGTGTTCAGGATATACAACACCCAAAGTGTCCCCTAATTTAAATTACAGATTCGGGTGGTAGTGATATGTCAGTGTAGCTTCATCGATCATAACAAATGTACTGCTCTAGTGGGGATTCTGCTGCATATGTGTGAGATAGGGATAATGAAATAGCTCTATATTTTCCTCTCAATTTTGCCATGGACGTGTAATTGCTCTAAGAATAAATTATATTTAGCAATACATCCAAATAGAAGGATGAATGAAGAGCAGGGTTATTTTTTTTCCAGGTAAACAAGGAGAGACCCAAGACATGAAAAAGGGTGTGTTGAAATATAACTAGGAAGACTCTGTTGAACCAAAATTCAGAAGAATCATGTCCCTCTGCCTGCTGCCTTTCACTTCCAGACAAAAGAATGCCTGATGACGTTCCTGCTGGTTAATTAATATTGAGGGACTTTTACAGAAGAAATGAAAGTCCCCACCTCAGATAAGTGGACTCTATCTATGGCCATTGGAATTTCATCTGGAAAACAGTCTATGTCCTCTCTGGTTCATCTGAAAGTGAATTGTGCTAGTCAGGCTCATTCAGCTCATTTCGAGATTCTAATAACTTTGCTGTTGCCTAAATCACACCCGGCAATCATCAGTAAGCCCCCAGCAAGAAAAGGAGAGCTCAAAAGAAAAAGAAAAAAGGAGCCAAGTGGGAACAGATATTGAAAAGAATAAAAGAAAATATAAAATCAATTCTAATGAGTGCCCTTGGAGAGATATCAGAAGACAACACATTAATAAAACAAGAACAGGATACTACAAAAAAAATATCAAGGATCATGGAAGAGCCTTTGGAAGTAAAAATGTATCTATTTATCTATATCTACATCTCTCTATATAGATAGATACAGATATACAGATAGATATAAATAAAAACTAGAACTAGAAAGCCATATATCCCATTTTAAACTAGAAAATAAATAAAAATTAAGAAGATTAAAATTAAGATAATATTCCAGAAAACTAAAATTACAAAAAACAACCAAGAAAGATACAAAAAGTAGAAATAATATACAGCTAACAAAGTATACACTGACGTGATCTAACAACTGATTGAACAGGAAAATAGAACAACACAAACAAACAAAATACAAACCAAAAAATAAAAACAGAGGGTAGGAAGTTATCAATGAAAGAATACATGAAAATAGGAACAAAAGTCTCCTTATTTAAAGAAAACTGAACTAAAGAGGAGAAATACACCAAAGTACATAATCATAACATTTCTAGATGTCATGGACAAAATAAATAATCTAAAACCTTCCATAGAGAAGGAAAAAAAATCATACAAAGTAAAAGAATTAGAAATACATAAGACTTCCCAACTGCAATGATGGGTTTTATAGGTAAAAGAACAATGCCTTCAAAATTCTAAAATATATTTGTCAACCTCTGTATTGTCTATTGCATACATCACATGTGAGAGTACAATGAAGTCATTTTCAAACATGCAAAGACACAGATAATTTACATCTCTGGCAACTTTTCCTACAAAGCTACTGGAAGAGAAAAGAACTTAGAAGGGAGTGCATGGGATCTGGAAACTCTGGGTCCAAAATAGTGAGGGATAAACCAGTGATCCCTGAATCAAACCCTCCAGGCTAGCGCACAGGAGAGCATAAAGCAGCAGAAACGAGGCCTCAGGGGGAAAAAAAGCAACTAGATAGATTATTTGATATGAGAGGCATTTGGAAGAGAAAAAGATGGGTGGAATAACAAAGCTGATGGACCATTTATAAGAAATTGATACATGGACATAGCAAATTGAGTAAGATGAGCAAAAACGATTGGTGGTAATTAACTCAAGGAAGCTTGGTTTTGGCAGGGG